TTTAATAAAATATTCACATTAACTCCCATTTTATTGCAGGTTTTTGAGTTGTCTTTTCAAAGCCTATTTTATTTTGGTAATTCTAAATGTGCAGTGCTGAGTTTCTTGTTTTGTCATTAATTTGATCTGTTTGATCATTAAATGAAGTCAGATATTCAATACATGACACATCAATGTTAGCATTATATGATATTTGAGAAAGTTCTATAAGTTTTTTTTAAAAAAGGTTACAGAATTCTGTGGGTTTTTTTGTTTTGAAAGAACATTCCAGAAGAAAAAAAAGGAAAACTTGTGTAAAAATCGCAAAAAACAATTTATTTATCATGAATTTAACACAATCACACAGTCTATGCACTGGTATTCTTTAATAATATCTAGTTAATACATTACAGCAAAGCCTGAGAATAATCTATATTCAGGGACTTTCATTAATTTTCCTATCCAAATACATGGCTTTATTACTAGTATCATAATTAAAAATAATTTTACCATATTGTTCTCAATTGCTTAACATAAATCTTCACGATATGGTATTGCCCCTTCTATTTTTTAAAATCTGGGTGACATAAAAAAAAACTGACTAAACTGTGAGCACATGAGCAATGAAATTTGCCAGCTTTTTCTTTAGTACTATGTCAGTGTGAATTAGGAATGCACTGATTAATATCAACATTCTAAATAACATACATCATTAGAATTGACAAAGGATTTATAAGATTTTAAAAATATTACTTTCCACCAGATATTTGAGAACAGTTTACCATCAGATTTGTATGTTCGTAAGCCCCAACCCATGCTTGGAAGAGAGAGAAAAAAATTCTTGGTTTAGTATCAGTGTATAATGCAAACAAAAATAAATGAAATAAAATACAGATGCCAATCATTTCCATGTTGCATCTCATGAGTCTTTCTAATTAACTTAAGATTTATCACAATCCAAACCTCTTAAATGAGGTATAGTGTGGATGTTTGTGGCGGATATAGCGAGGATGCTTGTGGTGGATAGTGTGGATGTTTGTGGTCTATATTGTGCTGGCATGATATGGCGTGGATGATGGTAGTGGATATGGCACCAGCATATGGTGTGGATGTTTGTAGTAGATACAGCTTGCATATGTCATGAATGTTTGTAGTGGATATTGCGCTGGCATGATATGGTGTGGATGTTTGTGGTGGATGTAGCACTGGCATAAAATGGCGCGTAGATGTTTGTAGTGGATATAGTGCTGGCATGATGTGGCATGGATGTTTGTAGTGGATATAGCGCTGGCATACAGCGTATATTTTCGTGGTGGAGATAGTGCTGGCATTATACAGCATGGATGTTTGTGATGGATATAGCGCTGGCATATGGTGATGTTTGTAGTGGATAAAGTGCTGGCATGATATGGTGTCGATGTTCGTAGTGGATAAAGTGTTGGCATGATATGGTGTGGATGTTTGTGGTGGATGTAGCGGCTAGAAGGGGAATTTGAAATCAACATGTTTGTGTAATGTGCATGCAATGCCGAGATGGGCTAAGGAGAAAGAAAACCGTTCCATAAATGGAAAGTCATGATGACAATTGAGGGATTAAATGTTATAGAATTATTTTAGGTGAAATCTTTCCAGCTGCATAAGCTTTATGAAAAATAGAGCGCTGAAATGCAGGGAAAATATTAAGAGATCAGAAATTTTAACATTATTTACTGAAAACACAAAAACACATGCATTCAAAAATAAATAACTCTAATGTTTCCAAATCCTATTAATAAATATTTATATTTTAGTAAGGACAAAGGTAAGGCATTAAAGTGATACAAATTAAATGAGACCACCTACACAAATTTTGTTTCTCTGATAGATGTAGGAACAGCTCTAACAATAAAAATTAAATGAGACCACCTACACAAATTTTGTTTCTCCGATAGATGTAGGAACAGCTGTAAAAATTAAAATTAAATGAGACCACCTACACAAATTTTGTTTCTCCGATAGATGTAGGAACAGCTCTAACAATAAAAATTAAATGAGACCACCTACACAAATTTTGTTTCTCCGATAGATGTAGGAACAGCTCTAACAATAAAAATTAAATGACACCACCTACACAAATTTTGTTTCTCCGATAGACGTAGGAACAGCTCTAACAATAAAAATTATTCAACTTGACATTTCATCAAAAATTTAAAACATTTTTAGAATGAGGATTTGTTAAAGGGCAATTTAACATTTGGATTATATTGAAACCTCAAAGCTTTATATGGCACCAAGAATATACAACCCGGTTATTTAATTAGCCATAGAACCATTGAACGTGATAAAAATGCTTATTATCAACTTTTAAGCTTTCATTTTTATCCCATTATTTTAAGCATGTCAATTATTTACAGATTTTGTGACCATCTGATGCAATACATATCAAACTGTGTGTCATGACACAGTAGTTGTGTTCAGCTGCAGGGTGTAGGTGACTGTTGTGAAAATCAGCCCTAGACATCACATGAGCAGTCAGCATACAAGGGCCTTCCCCTTCTTTCACATGGCTTATAAGAGTGCTGCAAGTTAAGCCTGATTCATTGAGGCTGACATTGTTTTATGCATTTTGTGCTTACTTTAAAATGGTTTTGATTTCTTTAGATCAGTAAAAAAAAGTGTCCCCAAAATTAAATGTTTGGAAAGCACTGATCTAATGTAATGAGTGGAAAGCACTGATCTAATGTAATGAGTGGAAAGCACTGATCTAATGTAATGAGTGGAAAGCACTGATCTAATGTAATGAGTGGAAAGCACTGATCTAATGTAATGAGTGGAAAGCACTGATCTAATGTAATGAGTGGAAAGCACTGATCTAATGTAATGAGTGGAAAGCACTGATCTAATGTAATGAGTGGAAAGCACTGATCTAATGTAATGAGTGGAAAGCACTGATCTAATGTAATGAGTGGAAAGCACTGATCTAATGTAATGAGTGGAAAGCACTGATCTAATGTAATGAGTGGAAAGCACTGATCTAATGTAATGAGTGGAAAGCACTGATCTAATGTAATGAGTGCTTTTTACAAAATTTTATGTCACATGCTCTCTAAAATTTTTTAAACTTCAAAATTTAAAAAAAAATGTATGCACAAATAATAAAGAATGGCTGAATCCATACTGGGTAGATTTTAAGACCTATGTGAGTATCTGACCCTCTAACTTCTTTAAGCAGACATACACCATTTGAATCACAAGAATTAATTGTTTACTTAAAACAATAATGTCCAATTAACCTAAAATTTAATGAGATAATTCCAGTAAACATAAACACAAGAATGTCTAAGAATTTCTCATTCACTTACAAAGGCAATCCCTGAATAATTAGTTTTATAAAGAAATAATATAATACAAACATTACATATAAATACAAGTTTGAACATTTCAAGTCACATCTAGTATCTTTCCATTCCTTATCAACCAATGAAATGGAAACAATCATCAACTAAAATAGCACATTTTTAAACAACCGGTTATCGTTATCAACAACAAAAATGAACATGAAATGTCTCATTAATTAATTATTTTTTTAATATGTTTGGAAATAATTTTTGTTGATCACAGCTCTTACTTTGTGACAATAAGGTGTTTGAATAAAAAATATATTTTATGTCAACTTTTCTTTTCCCAATAAAAAATTTTGGCTTGTAAATTGAAAAAAAAAAATGCGGGTATCTCACTAAATCTATTTTACACTGCCAATCCGCAGTTTACTTAGGCAACTTTTAAAACTTTTTTATCTTGTTTTAATTTTATGGCAGTTCAATTTCTTTTCTTCCTATTTATATTAGATTATCAGACAAAAGAGATATGTACAAAATTACAATCAACAATAATAATGACATATTGGACTATATAATCATTTCATTGCAAAAACAGCAACATGAAGATTTTACAACAAAATTAAAGACAGTAACACTTGAAACTTTATTATTGTGGATTTTAACAGACAAAAGGCATTATTTTAGGACAGGCACTCACAACTTATTTCTCATTAACTAATGAGTTTCATGTCATCTTGTAATTACATCTTATTAGAGATATTTTCCAGAAAAAAAAAAAAAAGTTAAAAGGAAGTTGGATATAATCTATGGTTCTGGGCAACTTCAAATGTACAGCAAGGGAATGTCAACATAGATCTACAAGATGCAGAGAAACTAATTTGGTTTACTCTGTACTGTACTTTATTAAGTGAGGATGGTTGCCTTGAGGTCAAAAACTTTATTCGATTCCCATGAACAGGGGTCATCAAACTTTTTTCATGGCGGCCGGATTACTGACAAAATTACAAGCGCGGGCCGCATAATCATTCTGTATATTTCGACCATGCGCCCCTTTAATGGTGAAAGATGCCGATACTTGGGAAATAATTAATTATTACCACAATTTACATCAAAATATTTGATAACTTGTGGTTTAGAATGAACTTAGAAGTAATTGAAACAATAATATTTTAATTTGAGGTTTAATAACCCGGTAGAGTTCATATTATAAATAGTCATAATTTGCTGTGTGCAAAACATTGTCACGGGCAACCATTCAGTCCCTTGCATGTGCTATTCTCATAGTTTCATTCATAAGAGATTGAATGTGCTATATGAAAACACTATCAATCATTGGTCACAGAAAGCATTAAATAATTAGTCCCCCACCAGAATAGTTTTAAGTAACGCCTTGCCTTGCAATTGCTTATATAAACTATATAATGGATGCTAGACTTGGTAAACACAAACATCCATATTGTATTTAATGTAATCATGCATATTCCATAGCTGGATAAGTAATAATTTATTTATTACAATTTATTTATTACTGCAGTGGAGGTTCAGTCCACAGTGAAAATACCAAACAAATGCACTTTAAAAATTCATAGCTCAAAAAGTACTAAAGATGAAAAGTTTCATTTTTTATTTGAAATTTGCTCTACATAAATCATTAAAATATTAGTTATGTCATATTTTAATGATTTTTTTAAATTTTTAATTGCTTTTACAGAACTATCTCATTATTAACATAATATTTAAATTGTATCACAATGTCTCGTGTTCTATGCATTTTCAAGTATGGTTGGCGGGCCTGATAAACTGACGGGTCATAGTTTGGTGACCCCTACCCATGAAGATCAATACCTAATAGTAGACCACAAACAGAATGTTTTAATCTCAGTGACAAACATTTACCATGAATCACAATAATCAACAGCTAATCACATCGTCTTTTTCATATCACAGCCAAAACTAGGAGGTAAAACACATGTAGAGCCGTTGTTAAACAAGGTGCTCACTTTAGGTTGAGTACTTCCAACATCAGAGGCTCAACATCCACAGGATTCACCTGGAGCAAGATTTTGGCATGTTCCTCACTGAGAACTCTTAAGTCACATAAGCGATCCAGAGCACTAACATAATACTCTTTGGAATATTCATAGGAAAAGCTCGACTCCAGGTAGTGTTTTAGAAGTAAAATATAGCGGTCTTGAATCGAAGAGACAAGTCCTCTACTTGTAATATTCATCCCAGCTGGATCAAATATAATTAAAACCTACAGTCAAGATAGAAAAATACCCATTTATTTATTGATAACCAAGAATTAAGGAAATACAATTCTGTCTTGAATATACAGGGTTTTATCAAGTTGCTGGATTTAAATATATGCAATATTTTGAGATAAAGTACATGGTCGATAGCTAAATTTGCAGATAAATTACTTGGACGATTGCTAAGTTTTGTTATAAATTACTTGGTCGATTACAAAATTTAGAGATATATTAGTTGATTGCAAAATTTTGAGATAAATTTACTTGGTCAATTGCAAAATTTAGCACAATTAAATAATGGTTTCCCGGAGCTTAAGACTCAACCAAATTATTTTTATCCTACAAACTGCTATAGAACTGAAGAAGAAAGATTAATATTCAAAACTTAATTTATCATTGAAAAATAATAGTACCGGTACTAACCTGTAAAAGTGCGTAAATGTGGTAGTCTTCCTGTGCCATGGATTTCACTCTGCGGCAGTAATAAACATGATTATTATGCAGAGAGACAAAGCCGGTGGATCGTTTCAGGATACTGGAAGGAATTTCTCCTTTCGGCGTTAACCAAGCATCCTTTTCTATGCTGTAAAATAGAGCTGAACGCAATAAAAGTGTTTTCATGACACATGCTTTTAAAGCTGCTATTTGGTCCTCTTGACTGAGTCTCTTAAAGTCTACCAAATGTTTTACAAACATGATCAGCTTTCGCACACAAACTTCTGAATGATTTACAAGGTCGGCAGGTTTAGTGTATTTTTTCTCCTCGGAATAAGGTCCCATTTCTGGCATGGCAGCCAATGTATCTTGATAAGCTTGTGTGATATCAGAGAGGACGGTCGACTCATCTCTAGTTAAAGTATAGTACATGGTACTATCAGTTGGTAGCAAGTGCTTAGGGACATGTTTAAAGATGATATCAGATGTGTTGCCATGAGCCTTTCCAAATGGAGTTGGTGGTCTTTCAACTTCTGTAACAACATCTCCGCTAGGCAGACACATCATTGAATCATAAGGATCTATCTCAGTTTTAATTTGCATCACTATAGATGATGTAGTAGTGGAAGGTTCTCGCTTTGCCCTATTTGCCATGACTTTACTCATTCGTTTCTTTCTTTCTGTGTCATCTAGAGAATAAAAATAATCAACATTAAATATTTACAGTTAATCAGCTTTCACAAATAAAATTTTTATAAGTAATAATTTTGTTCAGCATTTTAAAAAAAAAGTTATTTAAAAATGAAAAAAAAAATGGGGCTGTAACGAACCTCTCAGTTTACTTCATTACTAAAACATAACTGTATATAACAGTTGAGTCAAAGATATTGTTTCATATATATGAACTATTTAAATCAGAATCCCTGACATGATAAAAACAAAGATCAAAATTACCTAAAATCATTTCTCTATTCATTCCTATACTGTAGCACTTTTTAATTCGACATGCTGGACAAAAACGTCGAGTTCGAATGTCAACAATACACTTGTTTTCAAAAAGGCACACCATTGTCTATAGAAAATAAGAAAAGAAAATTACAACACAAAGTATTATAATAATGTAAGTTATTTAGTTGAAAGATCAGTTTATTTAGATCAACATAAATGCAAAATGCTTATAAAATACAACACTATAAATAGTGTTAATATAAGAGTAAAATTATACATTTTAAATATTTATTTAATGTCATATTTACTGCTCAACTAATGCAGTATGGCTTACTTGGTATTTATCAAACTTTAAACATCAAGAGTTTGCAAAAACTATTCAAACCTATTGTATATTCAAAAAATTATTTTTCTCACATTTCTCAATCTCAGCTAAGGCTGTTCAATTTTAACAATGTAAAATCAACTTACAGACACTAACCAAATTAATAGAAAAAATTCTATTTGGATTAGAGACCTGGCTTAACATTTCAGCCCCGCCCCCCCCCCCCCCCCCCCCCCCCCCCCCCCCCCCCCCCCCCCCCCCCCCCCCCCCTCCCCGCCTGCCAACGACAATATTTTGTTCAAACCCCTGAACTACATTAATAAAATTATTTAGCGTAGTTATCAGGAATGATGCTTCATAAAATCAGTGTCAACATATTTCCTTCATCTTCCCCTTTTAAAAGGGTGTTTTTCGGTGGTTGGGGCTGAAAAATTTGATACCAGGTGTTGTGATGAGAAGTGGATCAATTAGCTGTCAGGAGATTTTGTCAGTCCGCCACCCTGTCAGCTAGCCACGAACTAAGGCGAAGTGAATATAAAATATTTAACAAGAGTTCCTCCTCCATATATTGTTGAAAACACTTTATAGACGCCAGTGCATGTTACCCTTAAAACTTTTTTTTTACCTATAAATACTGTACTAGTGCACTTTTCCCCCCTAAATCCTTTGTTTAGCAATCAAAACGTTACCAGTGCACTTACCCCTTAGAACCCTTTGTTTTGACATTAATACTGTACCAGTGCACTTTCTCCTAAACTCCCTATTTACCCATTAATGCTCTAAGTTTTTGAAAATTAACAAGAAGTGTAATAACAAAAACATCTATATTTGTATCTTAAAAGGTTAGGATTAAGTTGATTACCTTGTCTTTCAATGCATTTCTCCTGAAGAAGGCTTTGCATGACTCACATGTTATAGCATTGAAATTATAACCCAAAGCTTTATCTCCACACACACCACACATTTTGTCATCTTTTAATTTCATCTTCCTCCTTGGATATGTAGTTAGCTCATCAGAATCAGTAGCAGATGTACTAGGCTTTTCCCCGGGTTCAAAATGACTTGTACTTGAAGAAGCAAACATTTCATCCTCAGACACAAGGCCAGAAGATGCCTAAAATATATTTATTATTATCATAAAATGTATTTATATATTTATGGTATTAATTAATTATAACTTTATTGATGTACATAGCTTTACAGAGATTTTTTTTTATATTTGCCACCACAAATCCTATCTGTCTATTTCTCATCAATGACTTGGCAACTATTGTGTCCCGTTATAATAACAAAATTTATGCCAAATTTAGGTTTGCACCAGACGCCCTATGTTAAATTCTTACAAGTAAAAACAATTTGAAATTGAGAATACATTTAAAAATAATAATAGGTTTGGGTAAAAATAAATAAAACAGGTATGTACGTCACTAAGCAACATCATTTGCGGTGAGACTGTGAGAAATCTGCTGGAACCCAGGGCAGGAGAAAAGTGGCCCACTGGGCGATTCCTGAAAATGGCATCTCTAAATAAATAGAAAGAAGAGCCACCCAAGGCAGACCAGTAAATTTATGTTTTTAGGCGCCCCTTGTTTAGTGAAGTAAGGTACCGGTACATGGATATTATAATTTCAATACTATCTCCTATCTTAAGACCATTTTGGTGCCCCCTGATGATGGCAGCCGGGACGAGTACCTCCTTTGCCCCTTTCTACTGGTATTGCCCTTGAGCAATGTGGCACCCCAGAGTGACACTGTGCATATTTTGAAACCACCGACTGGCCCCTTAATACTTTAACACCTGAACAAAACCAAGTAGTTTATAATGGGAAATGTTACCATTTTTTGAATAGAAATGAATAGGCTTTCAAGCTTTTTAGTATGGTTGTTATTCATTATTATTAAGTAAACATATTTGTGTACAATAAGTACCAGTTCTTATTTCCATATTAAAAGTGTAATACCAACCAAACATGGCTGATAAATCTTTATTAAATAATAATAGCAGTAATAAACGTAATCTTAAACAGGAATATGTTAAATCAAATTATAAAAAGGCATACTGTATAACATATGTATAGGTCATCACACTGGACAGGTCGCACCATTAGTTTGGGATAGTTGGGGGTTGCTGATAGGTGGCATAATAATTTGGGGGAGTGCCACAGCCCTTTTTAAACAGTCGATAATACTACGCCATTACTAACAATCACTATTTCGTTATTTAAAGCGTTTGATCTGCCCTTCTCTTGTTTACCATAATATTCAAGTGGTTTTAGGACTGTAGCGATTATTTAATTTTTCTTAAGAGCAGGCCAGTGCGAAAAATCAAAATGTCAAGGTAAAAATTCATTTTCTCCCTTGCTCTGGCTTATGCAAGTCCTGAAAAGCAACCTGCTATACTACTGATACACCATCAACTTTAAATCCCTGTGATGTGGAGTGATAGATCAAATTCATGATTTTAATCAAAGTTTTGGATAACATAGTGTGCAGTATATAATTTAAAGCAACTGTATATATTTATATGCATTTCTATAACTGGAGTGGGCAAACTACAGCCCTCTGGCCAATCTGCCCTGCAAGACCTTCCCGGAACTGGATGAATATTTTTTGGAAAATGAACAAATTATGATTGATTGTTTGCTAAGCCATTTAAAATGAATTATAATCAGTGTCAAAAAAAATGTAAAAACAATAAGTTCATCAAATAATAATTTTTAAAAAAACTTAATTATGAGTAAATTTTCTTAACCCATTTTCAATGACATGTATGAGATCTAATAAAAATTGTCATGCGGCTAGCAAAAAAAAATAATTTTTTTTTTTTGATGCAGCCCTCTGAAAAAAAAGCTTCTGTAAATATCTCTCATATAAATTCAAAATGCAAGGATGCACTTTAGCTTTTACCTGAATATAGTTTTGCATCTTTCTACACTTAATCATAATGCTTGTGGAACATAAGATTCCCTCTATCTAGCTGTGTTTATATAAATCCTTTTTATTTTATTGGTAACTAAATTGTAAAAAGTTTTTTATATATTTTTTATATCTAATATTACTTATTTCATTTTTATTTTAATCAGCCCAAAAAAGGAAAATACACCAAAATGGCTTTTACCGTCACAAAATATGATGTATAAATACATTTCAAGTGTGCGTTTATGCCAAATTGAAAATAATTGATAAGTGAACAAAGAAATAAGTTCATATGTCAAACATCCAGGCAGCCAGGATATTTCATGTGGTGGCCAATGGTTTGGCCAACGTTGTATTAAACATAGGAGCCCGATTTTATTTTCCGTTAACATGTTATAGTCTGATAACCACAGCGAGCTGTATCGGGAGACAGGAAGAAGAGTGCTGGGATATTATAATTCTACAGCTGCTTAGTTACTTTTAAAAAATAGATTTCAATTGCCACTTACTAGATCTTACAAAATATCTTAAATCCAATCCAGGTGTGTTGAGCAACTGAGAACTTATTCTAAAAATCTACAGCTTTATCCATATTCCCAATTGCTGTTCAGCCAAAGAACAAAATAATTATGTCACACTCTTACATAATTGGGTACGGAAGCAGGCAAAAGCGAATGTTGACTAAATTTGTCATTAGGGTGACTATACTAAATATTACTGTTGCCGTATCTAACGAGTTCAACACAAATAAACAATATGATGATCATCACCATCATTACGAAAAGTCAAGGTCTTATTTTATAGCCTTTAAGAATATTTATATACCTATGCCTTTTCCCATTCCATCCACACCCATACACAAATTAGACAAAAACCAACCCCCATATCCCCCCTCATTGTGTATGTAATAGTATTATGGATGGTCTCCAACCAATATTTCCCACTGCAGGATGTAGGAGCTAAAACTAACAGTCTAAATAGATTTTAAATTTTAAAATGATTAAAACTACCACAATATATTTTTTAAAAAGATTCACTTCAAATCGTAACCTGACAGGTCTCTGCGTATATTAGTCAAAAGCATCTCAAAATAATACATTTGATACATTTAATGCCAAAATCGTAAGTGTAACCAGGTCTGGATATCTAATGTATTCATTTGTTCATTATTCTTTGTATGGGACAGGTAAAGTGATAGCACTTTTCAATGCCTGGTTTTAAGTCTCTGAGCAGAATTAATTCCCTATGTTTTTATTCTTTTTTATTTCTTTGCATGGTGCAAGTTTGACAAAAGCACTAAAACCACATTCCAGCTATATAATAATACACTTTAGGGAATGGAACAACGAGCTTCTTGACCAGCTTCCACTGTGCAGGATAGCAATATATAAATTCTCATTTTAAAGTAAGTAAGTACAATTTTTGACATTGGATTCCATTTTTAATGATTTTTAATTATTAAAACTTTTTTTCTGTTTTCATTTATATAAATGTTTTTAAAAAAAGATTAATTTTCCGCTTATTGAATGTTTATCTTGTTCAGCCCGCAACCTTACATGTGATTTGAGTTTTGGCCCACTGAGTGATTGTGTTTGACACCCCTGACATAGATTGGCTGGCTCGGCAACCTAGTAACGCGTCTCGATAATACTTCCTCATCTTATGGCACGCAAATCAGAGCAGAAAAGACAAAATTGATAGCGAATAACACCACCGGCATCTCCACTGCAATTAAGATTGGGGAGGAAAGATTAGAGACCGTACGCGACTTCAAGTACCAAGGAGCTATAGTCCCAGAGGTAGGTTCCAAGCCCAAATTCATGTCCAGGATTGTCCAGACCACAGCAGCACTAAAGAGGTTTAAGAAATATGGAATGACAAAAATATAGCCCCCAGCACCAAAATCAGGGTGATGCGCTCATTAGTCCTCTCAATTTTCTTGTATGCCTGTGAGTCCTGGACATTAACAGCAGAACTTGAAAGAAGAATAAAGGCGATGGAGATGAGATGTTTCAGAAGCAATCTTGGAATCTGCTAGAGAGACCATATCTCTAATTAACAAGTGAAAGAAAGGAATCGTCAAACAATTGGGCAGTATGAAGACCCCCCTGGTGACTGTAAAGAACGCAAACTGGTATGGTCAAGTGACAAGAAAACAAGGGCTCGTCAAAGAAATCATGCAGGGCACAACGAGAGGAGGGAGAAGAGGAAGTCAGAGAAATAGATGGGAAGATAATATTAAAGAGTGGACGGGTCTAAAACTAGGCAATGCTGTGCAAAGTGCAGAAAACAGAGAGGAATGGAGAAGGATAGTTTTCATGTCATCTGAGGTGCCCCAACGGTCCAAGGACTAAGGGACATGATGATTCTTTTCAGAACAATAGCGTCTAAGGAGAAAATAAGATGCCTACTCTAACTCTAAGATATAAGTGGAAATAGAATGTGCAAAATAAAATTTGAAACGGCAATTAAAAAGTGGAAGTGGCCATTTTGATAAAGAAATCATGATAACCAATTTTTGGTGTTTCCCTATCGATACGTAAGTGTTTATGAACTCAGCAATTCAGTTGTCAATAGATAGGTACCATGCTCACCCCAATAAGCATGAGGTGTGGTATGAAAATGTTGCCAAAAGTCAATTTTATTTAACGGAGATGCCGGAAAGTGCTCTAACCACTGTCAATTATGAAGTGGTTTGTTATTGTATAATCCCTAAAAATCTGATTAATTCTAAGACGTTTAAAAGGAATAATTAGTTAATAAATTTAAGAAAAAATTATAACCAAACTTGAAAAATTTTTGGTGGTGACTACGACTTGCTTGTTAGTTTTATTACATTAAAATTGTGTGAGTACCCATTTCATCTGTTCTCATTATTGAATAAATAATTAATTGTTTAATAATAGTAATAGCAATAATAATAATTGTTATTCTCTTATTAATGATTACTAACATGGGAGAACATAACTAAAATTAGGCCTACTAATAATTTATAATAATAATTATTATTATAATCCTATAGACTTTTATTATAGTCTATTTAGGTGTATGCCTTTATTATTCTATGACTACAACTGCACTCTAAGGCCTGATTAAAATAAGTATTTTTAAAAAATTAATTATGTGTTTAATTATAAATTTTTATTAATTTGTTAAGTTAATTTGATGTAACATACTAATACTTATCCTACTAACTGTGTGTCTTTCCAGACATAGAAAATCAGTTTATATAGACAAATATTAAGTGAATAAAAAAAAAATAAAAAATAAATGAGTTTTAATAAACACAAATTTAATAATATTAAAAAGAAACTAGAAATTGTATAGATTCAGAATTATGGTTAGATGTTATTTCTAGGCTTCTTTCAGGTACAAGAGAACATTTTCTATTGAAAACTTTGTGGAATTCCTTCCATCATCGATGAGGCACATTAGGATGTAGATGGCAAAGATAAAGTTTATGAAGTAGAGATTGTGGAATTCCTCAACAAGACCAAGAAGTCTGAAGAGCAGTTTACAAGCAGGATATCCCCATTACCTTTTATTATTTAATCACATGCTGGTACAGGTATGCTCAAAGTATTAGTCTTATGGGGGATTTTATGAATTTGTATTTATAATTTCTTGCATTCAATTTTATATTTAAAAAATACTTTTACCTTTTATAAATAAAGAATAGACTTAAAATATAACTGAAGCATATATTTAATTTAACTAAAATTAACATGTTACTATTTGGTTTTGCCTTTACTTTTACAAATAATAATTTACCAACTTTTCTGTTCATTATTTTTTTTAAATACCTTTAAATAAAATTATCCAAAATAAAAAGTCTTGATGTAATGTAAAAATGTTGTTGTTCTTTATATTTTTTAATAGATGTGAATATCTCCTGAAAATTTGGTGCACTTATCTTTAAAAATCAAAACGGTGTGGGCAAAATCGTGCTGAAATTTTAAAAAGTTGGTCACAAGTTTTAACTCCCCTTCTATAAAAGAAAGAAAGAGAACTTGATTTTTTTTGGGATGCTTCTAATTTATAACCAGCCCTTTAATAAAATGGCAATCAGACAATATTTAAAATTTCTATCAAAGTACCAACAATACCAACAGTGGTAATAATAAGCATAGGCAAATATAAAGTAGGGCTTAACCAGGTGCAGTTTGTTTACACCGGGTCTGAGTATTTTGAGAAAATAGCTGGTGGGTCCAAGTTTAACATAAAAAGATTTAACTTCTTATTTTCTATAAACAATAGGCATAGGACTACAGACAGTCCTACACTCTACCTGCCAGCATTTAAACAATAGTTTTACACTATACCCATCACGCTGTGGCTCTTTGGATTAATTTAATAGTCGCCTTCGAAAAAATTTAAACCTTTCTACCTCCTGTGTTCAACTTTCACACATGACAGTCAGTTCGTAAGTGTTTTTTTCACTCATTGAAGTGCTATTAATATAAAACATGTTGAGTAGGGGGAGGACTAGATCTAGTTGTGAAAAGGAAGCAGGACATACTTCACATACCAGAAACAAAATATTAATATTAATTAATAATATTATTAATATGCATAAGAAATTATATTTATATATTAAATTTAAATTAGATGTATATTAATATTAATATTATATAATATTGGCCCCCCTCACTGTAAATTTGGACTTTTTGGTTCTCAGCTTCTTTGATTTTGAGTGTTAAATAATCATAAATGAGATTAACTCATTGAGTTGAGTGAGAACAGAAAAAAGCTTACGTAACAAGCGCTACTCTCTCTCTCTCTCTCATTCAGTCATTCACATTTTTATTTACTCTCGGACTCGTTCACTCATCATGAACTAATTCTAACATAACATTAATACATTTTCACGAATTTCTTTTGCAAACGATAGAACTAATAAGGCCTAATCATTAAGTTTTAATATTAAAATAATAATTTATTTTCTTAAATGCAAAATCATCTTAACGATGAATGAAATTAATTTATTTAATAACTTACAACTGAATCCGAATCTTCAGCCATCTTCCGTGTCCGGAAGTGTAACGACGAGGGTTAGTCTTAGAGAGAAACCAGGGCTACCAGAACTTGGGATATTTCCCAAGAACTTGGGAATTCTCGACCCCACTTGAGATCTGGGGAGGAATGAAAATAAGGTCAACCTTAGGAACGTTTTTTACTTTTTTCTTTATTTTCTAGTTTAAACAAAAAATAATTGAAAGCATTGAAGGTATTTCTTTATTTCTTTCCGGGAAGGGGGGGGGGGGCATTTCAAATTTTAGGGGGGGGCTGTGTCATTTGCCAGTGGCCAGAGGCGTAGCTAAGGGGTGGCAGATGGTGCATATGTCAAGGGCACCAGACTAGCGGGGAGGGGCAAAATAGGCTTAGATGGTATTCAACGATTGAAAATAATCAGTTTAAGAATTAAGGGGGAGGGGGCGTAAAAATGAATCTTGTCCCTTGACACCAAACTATAGTCTGATGGGACCAGGGCACGCGTTTAATCCAAACGCGTGCTTTATTAAAAGTTCAAGGTTGATGCGTAAGAAGTGAGGTTACACAATAATAAAGTCAGACAAACCCGTTTGGACTATTATTCAACGCCGATTGAAGTGTCCGGTAACTTTTGTAAGTGAAAGGGAGCTGACCTAGGGTTATCTCAATTACTGAGAAATAAAGCTTTCCATTAATACCAAATACGATGTTGTCGTGCGATTCTAAGTTCATGAATCGAATCGGTAAAAATTAAAAACACAACAAAAAAAAACGACCTTTTATATTATTTATAAGGTTAAAAAAGGAGCTAGCACAGTCCTTGAACATTTGAGCTAGCATCGCCCTTTAACACTTGAGCTAGCATCGCCCTTTAACATTTGAGCTAGCACCGCCCTTTAACATTTGAGCTAGCACCGCCCTTTAACATCTGAGCTAGCACCGCCCTTTAACATTTGAGCTAGCACCGCCCTTTAACATTTGAGCTAGCAAAGCCCTTTAACATCTGAGCTAGCACCGCCCTTTAACATCTGAGCTAGCACCGCCCTTTAACATTTGAGCTAGCACCGCCCTTTAACATTTGAGCTAGCACCGCCCTTTAACATTTGAGCTAGCACCGCCCTTTAACATTTGAGCTAGCTTTAACATTTGAGCTAGCACCGCCCTTTAACATTTGAGCTATCACCGCCCTTTAACATTTGAGCTAGCACCGCCCTTTAACATTTGAGCTAGCTCTACCATTTGACCTAGCACCGCCCTTTACCATTTGAGCTATCACCTCCCTTTAACATTTGAGCTAGCTTTAACATTTGAGCTAGCACCGCCCTTTAACATTTGAGCTATCACCGCCCTTTAACATTTGAGCTAGCACCGCCCTTTAACATTTGAGCTAGCACCACCCTTTAACATTTGAGCTAGCACCACCCTTTAACATTTGAGCTAGCACCGCCCTTTAACATTTGAGCTAGCACCGCCCTTTAACATTCGAGCTAGCACAGCCCTTGAACATTTGAGCTAGCACCGCCCTTTAACATTTGAGCACGATTGTCAGACAGCTCAATGACCTTTACATGCTGTCTGTGATTTCTCGTTTATCTGCTACCTTTACCTTTCTGCTGATCAACTTGAGGAAGATAATCTTACACAGCAGTATCTGCAGACCAAATCCTTTACTCTCAACAAATTGATGACCAATCTAGAAGCCTTAAGATTGTTTCTACTAGAGAAGCGCTGTCACTTGGTGGAACATGCTATTGAAAATGCACTTTTAAAATCAGACCAATATTGAATTTCAATAGAGATAATATTAAGGTTTAAGAAGGGAATAGCATGAGAACTATTTACGATCCACCTAGAACAGCCAAGGCTCTGACCTGGCTCTATTATCAACTTAAAGTGATACCGTGAAGGATATTGCGTTTGGTAAAGTGATTGACAGGTTTACAGCTTTGAAGATCAGAAAAGGAAATTTTTAATGAATAAAATTTAATTTAAAAATAAAGTATAACTTAACGTTGTTACAGTTCTTAAATACCGGTACATTTAACCTGACCTATAATTAATTTGTTTTATTTGTCAATGTTATACAGTGGGCTTATTGTAACAAGAAAAAATCCGTCGGTGGGGATGGCGGTGGCGGTGGCGGTGGTGGGGGGGGGGAGATGACACTGTGAGTTTACCATGTTTTTTGTGTATCAAATCCCCAGGAGCGGCATAAAAACATTGAAATCATTATTGAAAATATCATGGGGATTTATTGAACTTAAATAAATAAAAATAAACAGTACTTACAATTTTAATATGCGTAAAATCAGGATGCCTGCATGTAAAGTTAATTTGATTAAATTGCTACTCCTCTGGGTTAAATTGCTACTCCTCTGGGTTAAATTGCTACTCCTCTGGGTTAAATTGCTACTCCTCTGGGTTAAATTGCTACTCCTCTGGGTTAAATTGCTACTCCTCTGGGTTAAATTGCTACTCCTCTGGGTTAAATTGCTACTCCTCTGGGTTAAATTGCTACTCCTCTGGGTTAAATTGCTACTCCTCTGGGTTAAATTGCTACTCCTCTGGGTTAAATTGCTACTCCTCTGGGTTAAATTGCTACTCCTCTGGGTTAAATTGCTACTCCTCTGGGTTAAATTGCTACTCCTCTGGGTTAAATTGCTACTCCTCTGGGTTAAATTGCTACTCCTCTGGGTTAAATTGCTACTCCTCTGGGTTAAATTGCTACTCCTCTGGGTTAAATTGCTACTCCTCTGGGTTAAATTGCTACTCCTCTGGGTTAAATTGCTACTCCTCTGGGTTAAATTGCTACTCCTCTGGGTTAAATTGCTACTCCTCTGGGTTAAATTGCTACTCCTCTGGGTTAAATTGCTACTCCTCTGGGTTAAATTGCTACTCCTCTGGGTTAAATTGCTACTCCTCTGGGTTAAATTGCTACTCCTCTGGGTTAAATTGCTACTCCTCTGGGTTAAATTGCTACTCCTCTGGGTTAAATTGCTACTCCTCTGGGTTAAATTGCTACTCCTCTGGGTTAAATTGCTACTCCTCTGGGTTAAATTGCTACTCCTCTGGGTTAAATTGCTACTCCTCTGGGTTAAATTGCTACTCCTCTGGGTTAAATTGCTACTCCTCTGGGTTAAATTGCTACTCCTCTGGGTTAAATTGCTACTCCTCTGGGTTAAATTGCTACTCCTCTGGGTTAAATTGCTACTCCTCTGGGTTAAATTGCTACTCCTCTGGGTTAAATTGCTACTCCTCTGGGTTAAATTGCTACTCCTCTGGGTTAAATTGCTACTCCTCTGGGTTAAATTGCTACTCCTCTGGGTTAAATTGCTACTCCTCTGGGTTAAATTGCTACTCCTCTGGGTTAAATTGCTACTCCTCTGGGTTAAATTGCTACTCCTCTGGGTTAAATTGCTACTCCTCTGGGTTAAATTGCTACTCCTCTGGGTTAAATTGCTACTCCTCTGGGTTAAATTGCTACTCCTCTGGGTTAAATTGCTACTCCTCTGGGTTAAATTGCTACTCCTCTGGGTTAAATTGCTACTCCTCTGGGTTAAATTGCTACTCCTCTGGGTTAAATTGCTACTCCTCTGGGTTAAATTGCTACTCCTCTGGGTTAAATTGCTACTCCTCTGGGTTAAATTGCTACTCCTCTGGGTTAAATTGCTACTCCTCTGGGTTAAATTGCTACTCCTCTGGGTTAAATTGCTACTCCTCTGGGTTAAATTGCTACTCCTCTGGGTTAAATTGCTACTCCTCTGGGTTAAATTGCTACTCCTCTGGGTTAAATTGCTACTCCTCTGGGTTAAATTGCTACTCCTCTGGGTTAAATTGCTACTCCTCTGGGTTAAATTGCTACTCCTCTGGGTTAAATTGCTACTCCTCTGGGTTAAATTGCTACTCCTCTGGGTTAAATTGCTACTCCTCTGGGTTAAATTGCTACTCCTCTGGGTTAAATTGCTACTCCTCTGGGTTAAATTGCTACTCCTCTGGGTTAAATTGCTACTCCTCTGGGTTAAATTGCTACTCCTCTGGGTTAAATTGCTACTCCTCTGGGTTAAATTGCTACTCCTCTGGGTTAAATTGCTACTCCTCTGGGTTAAATTGCTACTCCTCTGGGTTAAATTGCTACTCCTCTGGGTTAAATTGCTACTCCTCTGGGTTAAATTGCTACTCCTCTGGGTTAAATTGCTACTCCTCTGGGTTAAATTGCTACTCCTCTGGGTTAAATTGCTACTCCTCTGGGTTAAATTGCTACTCCTCTGGGTTAAATTGCTACTCCTCTGGGTTAAATTGCTACTCCTCTGGGTTAAATTGCTACTCCTCTGGGTTAAATTGCTACTCCTCTGGGTTAAATTGCTACTCCTCTGGGTTAAATTGCTACTCCTCTGGGTTAAATTGCTACTCCTCTGGGTTAAATTGCTACTCCTCTGGGTTAAATTGCTACTCCTCTGGGTTAAATTGCTACTCCTCTGGGTTAAATTGCTACTCCTCTGGGTTAAATTGCTACTCCTCTGGGTTAAATTGCTACTCCTCTGGGTTAAATTGCTACTCCTCTGGGTTAAATTGCTACTCCTCTGGGTTAAATTGCTACTCCTCTGGGTTAAATTGNCTGATATTATTCAGGCTGTCACATACCACGTCATAGGCTGATATTATTCAGGCTGTCACATACCACGTCATAGGCTGCTGTCACATACCACGTCATAGGCTGCTGTCACATACCACGTCATAGGCTGCTGTCACATACCACGTCATAGGCTGATATTATTCAGGCTTTCACATACCACGTCATAGGCTGATATTATTCAGGCTGTCACATACCACGTCATAGGCTGATATTATTCTGGCTGTCACATACCACGTCATAGGCTGATATTATTCAGGCTGTCACATACCACGTCATAGGCTGATATTATTCAGGCTGTCACATACCACGTCATAGGCTGATATTATTCAGGCTGTCACATACCACGTCATAGGCTGATATTATTCAGGCTGTCACATACCACGTCATAGGCTGATATTATTCAGGCTGTCACA